TTTATTAAGTTAATTTTTAGTTTCTACAAAAAATGAGCATATGTTCGATTAAGTGACAATCAAATTTCAGACTTAAATCTGAGTGTTAAATTTTTTAATCGCTTATGTGGATCAATATGAACACGACACAAAAATAAATACCTTAAAGTCATTTCAGTGAGACAAGTTTCTCACTCATTTGAAGTCTCAATTTGTTTGTTTGTCTATTTTAGTCTATTTTATTACTCTACATAAAACCCAAGCCTCACATAAGAGAGATTGTGAAGCGAGCTTGTATCATAAGTGAAAAAGAGTGAAAACTCTAGAGAGTTATCTGTAATTCACAGTTGGGCAAATGCAGGTGGTGATCGGAACATGAATAGATTCTCCCTCTTAATGGGATTAAGGCTATCAAAGATTGGTTGATGGTTAAGAAGTTTCTTCACCCATTGTCAATTAATTTTTTTGTTAAATGTCTCTAACAATTTAGAATAAATTCGCAGTGGTTATACGATTGAAAATCTTATTAGATTAACATTTCAGTCATTTAATGAAGCTAATTGAAATTAGTTGGTCCAATTAGTTACTCCATCCGTTCCTAAATATCTGTCATTTAAGGTTTTTGCACAAGTATTAAGGAAACTATTAAATAGCTCTAGTATGAGTAAAAAATAATTACACAAGACTAAAATACTCTTATTCAATACGTATTGGAAATAAAAAGAATATGAAATACACTTAACCTACACTTAATTTATTAAGCACTTATTAGAAAACAGAGATAAAGGTAAATTTGGAAGAAAAAATATTAATTATGCTTTGGTTTCATAAAACGACAGATATTGTGGAACAAAAAAAATGAGATAAAACGATAGATATTTAGGAACAGAAGGAGTATAAGATAATTGGATGATTAATTACTGACCAATTGGAGGTAATTAAAGGGTGAATAACCTTATCTCTGCCCTACCCACACTCTACGTACAAGAACAAATTTAAGAAGATGATTTCATATGATTATAAGTTCCAAGATACAAGAACAACTTTAGTACTGTGTCCAACGTTAAAAGAAAAAAAATGTGAGGTTATAATAAAATAGGATTGTTGAAATTTCTTGAAAAAATTAGGAATCTATCTTACTTTTTTCAAAGCCGTAACTTAATTCATTGAATTGTAACACGTATTCTTTGTAATGTACTGCAATGTTTCGTTTGATAGGAACTATGGAAAGTAAAAGAGATAGAAAATAGGAGAGATCCATATACACTTCCTATCCTCCAAAAAAGAAAAGTAGAAATGATATACTTTTCTTCCTTGTGTTTGACAGTAAGTTTTAGAATTATTTGAAAAATAAGTTGTACTTTGATTCCTCCAAAATATTCTTTTAATTATAGTCATTAATTTTACACTAACGCAATGAAAAACATTTGTGATAGCTTGGATGAAAAGTTTTGGCACTTTATTCTCCAAGTATATGAAATTTTTTTACTTTGCCCATAAAATCTAATGGCACATGGGTATTTTCTTTCCAAAACTATTCCATGGGATGGGGCTTAGTCAAGATCAAGCTTGGCCTATATCGAAAATTTTTCTAGTAGGAGCCGTGGCAGCCCTCAACTAAAAAGTTATTTGTTTGCATCTTTCTATTATTAGTCTTTAGGGAAAATTATGTTTGGACTCTTTCAACTATGTTTTTGTCACTCAACTGATGAGTTTCTCATATTGTCTCCTCAATTACTTGATTAGTTTTGCATTGTCCCAAAACCAAGCATCCATCTTGTTTGAACGAAAAATAGCAAAATGTCTAAATGTATAACAAAACACATATTTTCAATCTCTACAACTTGGATAAATGAAACCATGACCATGATAAGATATGCAATATGAAAAACGTGACAACGGAGGGAAAACATATTATAGTCGAGGAGATTATGTGAGGTGTAGCATATAAGTGGAATTTGCACTCATGGTTATGGATATAAGTGGAATTTGCACTCAAGGTTATGCAAGTTAAAAGTCCAGCAACTACGGGATGCTGAGGTCAGGCTATTGGTGGGTGAGTCCTCCTTTAGTGACATATACTGAATTTAGTCCGCTAAAAAAACTTATTTAGGAGTAAGTCCGTTTTTAATCTTATTAATAAGTAGTTAAATTTATTATTTTTTTAAAATTTCAAAATGTCCTTCTAATGACTTAAAAAATAATCTTCAACATTAAATTAGTTTCCTAAACAGTCATCCTTGATTTACACTTAATGCAGATTTTTTTTCCACAAAATCTGAAATTCAAATTTAAATTTGACATCACTACCACTTCTCTCTATATCTCTCTCTCATTTTTTTTTTTGCTGAAAAGATTGTGGTTAATTTAATATTGAATGTTACTATGCATGTTACTATTTTTTTGTTGTGCATGTTACTATTTTTTTAATGAGTATGTTACTATTAATATTGAATGTTACTATTTTTCTGAATTATCAATATTTAATGTTATTTTTTTTGTTGATCATGTTACTATTATTATTATTTTTTTCAAATATTAATATTCAATGTTACTATTTTTTATTTTTGAATGTTCCTATTTTTTTTGTATTTAAGTGATACTATTTTTTGTGTTTGAATGTTACTATTTTTTATTTTTAATGTTACTATATATATATATGAGGGAGAGAGAAATAAATAATTTTATTCTATATATAGATATAGATAGATATGAAATTTTTTTTTTAATATTAGTCAAACTTCTAAAATTCAAGAATTGTTAGTTTTCAAATTTGTTGTAATTAAATATAACTAATGAGGGTATTTTAGACAATGAAGATTAAAATGAACTTAATATTAAACAAATTTTCTTGATGGACTTATCACCAAAAAAAGTCCACAAAGAGAGACTGACCTCCCAATTTTTCTTTTTTTATTTGGGATTAGGGGTTTGTTGGAGAAAAAATTACTCCAGGTCACTGTTTGGTTCATGATATCTCTCTGGGCATCGTTATCGAGGCCTTCACTTTCATGAAGAAAAATCTTGGCCAGTGGGGAAAGAAACATCAAACATACTTCGGTAGAGAGGGCTATTATTGTATACTCATTCTACATACGATTCCCTAATAATTGTCCTATGAAAAAAATATCTTCTCCTTCACAGTAGAAATAAGGTTGACTTTGATTTGACCTGTTAAAAATTAGTGGCTCTTCTTCATCTAATTTGTCATCTAACATTTTAGGTGCATTTCAATCTACGGCCCTTCACAAAAAAATATCTTCTCCTTCACAGTAGAAATAAGGTTGACTTTGATTTGACCTGTTAAAAATTAGTGGCTCTTCTTCACCTAATTTGTCATCTAACATTTTAGGTGCATTTCAATCTACGGCCCTTCACAAAAACCTCTACAGATTTGTTGGTGTGAGGCCAGCTTCCAATTATTTCAGAAAACAAGAAGCTGCAAATCAGTAAGTTGTAGAATTGTATAATTATTTGCCTTGATTATTTGTAAAATAAATTCTATTACGCTTCCTTCAAAGTACTCTTCTAAATATGATCATTACTTTTACACTAACCAAATAACGATCATTCGTGATAGATTGGACAAAAAATTTTGCCGCTCCATCTGCAAAAGTATGAGTTTTTTCAGGTTGCTCCCAAAATCTAATGACACATTGACATTTTCTGTCGAAAACATACTTGATAATGAAGGGTGCATTGGCTACAAAGCCGGCTCATGGTGGCCCGAAGCCCGTAGGCTACAAACGGCCCACGGGCTAGCCCCGCCATTGAAAGCCATGTGCATTTGATTACGTGAATTGTAGGAAATGAATCTAATCTACCTTATAAATTAATGGCTGCTCACTACTTTCTTTGTCATCAACATTTTTTCAGTCCAAGCAAATCGCTTATTTCAGAAGAAAAGCCGACGAACAAAAGAAGGAAGTTGAAAATCAGTAAGTTGTGTAATTTTATAAGCATTTGTTTTGATTATCCAAGTATTGTAATATAAATGTGCATGTTTACTTCCATATACTCAGTGTAGTTTCCTAGTTTAACACGTTTTGATATAGTTCACCCCTCGTTACATGGAGTAAATATTCATTGCAACGGTAATATTACTTCGTCATTAGTGACACGTGGTATCACCAACTAATAAGAATACATCATATAAATATAAGTGAACTCAACTATTCAAACGTGTTAGTTAGTCAACGTGGTAGTTATTAACAATTACAAAATAATGGAATACACCACATACACATGATATATTATCATTGGTTGGTGATACCATGTATCGCTAATGACGTGATATAACTGTTGCAAGGAATATTTTCTCCGTAGTGAGAAATTTTGAAGAGCTAATTACACTTTTTTCCTTTCAAATGTTCTAAAATTTAATTTGCACCCTTAATGTTAAATAATCACATATTGACCCTTTATTTTTCAAACTTGTATGTAGCAACGTGCCCAAATTAGTAATTGAATGACATTTCCTTTTCCTCCATAAAGATATAAATATATGATATGTTTACTCCTGAAAGATTTTAAAATTGGACCTGTGTGGAAAAGCAGTGAGGTTTTACACTTGAACTTAAACTATCAAAAGAGACCTATTGAAACGGTTTTAAAAAGTTTAAGGGTCAAATTGAAATAACTAAAAGTTTAAAACAATCCAAAATTTATAACAGACATTAATCATTAAGATATTCAAAATAAATCACAAAGTTAAAGGTAAAATGTGAAAAACATATTAGTTAAAGAGACAATCTGAAAAAAGTCATGGTTAAGAGAGAGACCAACCTCATGTGTTTGGACTTCTAGGCCTATCATGTCCCATCTTGTGTATTTACTAACTGTTCATTTGACAAAAGTGGCATAGGCTTTCCACCTTGTTTTTTTCAAAAGATGTCTAATTTTTTTCAGTGTGGTTTCATATTGGTTTGAGATTTTTTTATGCGGCATGTGAAGTAAAATATCTTTTGAAATATTCTTAGATACTTGTTTGTCATTCTACATAAATTGTGAAGGAAAATCAGATGTCTCAGTTGTCTATTTGCATCGCCGAAAAGCTTGCTACTTTACCATCTACACCCTATAAACCTTACCTGTTCAGAATAAACGATGCACTACGTAGAGAGAACAGTGAAGCATACGAACCAGAAATAGTAGCAATTGGTCCTTATCACCGCGGCAAAGTTAAGATACAAATGATGGAAGAACACAAACTATTGTACCTGCAAGAGTTGCTTAAACGGAGAAATGAGTTGAGTGTGGATATGTATGTCATAGCCATGCAAGAATTGGAACAAAAAGCTAGAAAGTGTTATGCTGAACCCATTAAAATGAACAGGGATGAGTTTGTGGAAATGATGCTACTTGATGGGTCCTTTATAATCGAGTTATTTCGCAAGTTCTCTTGTGAAGAACAGGAACAGATAGATGACCCTATTTTTCAAGCAAGTGTCATTTGGCTGAATATACGCTGTGATCTTTTGTTATTTGAGAATCAACTTCCATTCTTTGTCCTCTCCAAGTTATTTGACATGAGCAAAGATCCAAACCATGGAGACCCACAAGAGAATATTTTAATCTTAGCTCTCAGGTTTTTACTTGATGCCATTCCAGATATCTCGTATTTCAGACATGCTAAAATGCCACATAACAATGTCAATCATCTTTTGGGTCTTGTACATGATACTTGTGTTGGGATTTAACACGATTTAAATCCACTAACAAACACACACAATCGAAGAACAAATCAAGAATATAAAGCAATAAGAAACAAGAAAGAACAAGACATAGATTTTACGTGGTTCGGCAATTTGCCTACGTCCACGAAGCTGCAGGGATTTCACTATTGAGAGAGTTGAATACAGAGAGCGACTGTACAATCCACGATTAACCCTAATCACCAAAACAACAGGGTTTATATGTCCTACGCACTGGGCTGTATAACGGGCTCAGAAAATTTTTCATTAAAAAACCACATAATATTACTTCGGGTCGGGTCATCATCCGGATCACATATACAAACTAGACTCCATAAAAAAAAAACCAACAACTTGGTGTTCTTCATTTGCTAAAATGGTAGATGCAAACCAAGAAACAGAATGGAATTTTATAAAATGTACCACAGAACTTAGAGAAGTTGGAATTAAATTCGAGAAGGCTACAGAAAGTTTCTCATTGTTGGATGTAAACTTCGAACATGGAAAAATGAAAATCCCTCCTCTAAATATTGAAGATGATACAGAGGTCTTCTTCAGAAACCTGATGGCATTCGAGGAATATAATGGGAGAACTGAACCAAATTATGTGATTGATTATGCCAAGGTCATCGATTGCCTCATCAATTTCCCGAAGGATGCTGAAAAACTTCACCATTATGGAATTATTGATAACTGGTTAGGTGATGATAAAGTGGTTTCTACATTGTTTAACAAATTGGGCAATCAAATCAGCATAAATTCTGCGACGTTTTGCTACTTGAAAGTTTTCAACAAAGTGAACAAGCACTGCGAACGTCGTCGGCATACATGGATGGCCAAAGTAAAGCATAATTATTTCAATAGCCCGTGGTCTACCATTTCAGTGGTTGGGGCTGGTGTGTTGCTAATACTCACTGCGATACAAACTGTATATTCTATCTTATAAATCTAGTTTTAAATCTAATTTGATGTACTTACCCACCCCCTCAGTCAATAAATATTATGTTTCAAATAAGTGCTATTCATTGTGTTAAGACAACATGTTTTTTTGGAAATGTTAAGTAAAATTTCACTGCAGTTTGGAGCAAACTGTAAGGTTGGTTTCCATGGCGTTGTAAACTAAGAACTTATATTTGGAATTCAAATGAGTATGCTATTAAACAACCAAATGGAGTTCGACTAATTTTTTTTTTCGAAAGATAAAATGATGCTATTGATTCAAAAAAGACAAGATACAGGAGGGTGAATTCCCTTACAAACAATAGGAATCCACTATTAAAAGCCAAACTATTGAATTCTGGGGGAAGTGAGGATGGTTGTCCAGACTTCCAACAAAATGCATAAGGGAAGAGAATAGCCCAAACAATTATTGGGGATTTGCCACAATTGAGCGAGTCACAGGTTTCTGTTAGTGGGCTTGAATCTGAGAGAAGCAGTTCTGTCTCTAATAGTTTGGACAATGAGGGTGAGGAGGGAGGAGTGGTCCCTAGACTTGTCTTGGTGAATTCTAATGTTTCTTTCCATCCAAATGTTATAAATTGAAACAACAAGACTGAGCTTTAGGAGGGCGGTGCACATAGAATTACCTTTCCAATTCTGGCTTGCATAATTGATGATCCCCTGCCATGACATGTTTTGCATTTGCTGCCAACTGAGGAGTGGCAATTGGGCCTAAATAGAATGAGAGAAATAGCATTCAAAGAATAAATAGGCATGTGACTTGGATGATGAGTTACAAAGAGAGCATTCCAAACTAATTTCAGCAAAAAAATATTGGTTTCTGTCTTTGGTGCTGAGTTTGGATATGATGGCAAGCCACAAAATGAAGGATCACACATGAGTTGAAAAATTAATTAGGGACGACTTTGACATTATTAAATCCTAATCCTGATTACCAATATCTGAGTGGAGGGTATTATTGTAAATTTTTTTAACGGATATATTTACAACAGGAGTGTGTACAAACCTCAATGAGTCTATATGTAATATTTCAAATGTTAGAGGGTCTGAGTTATTAAGTGACAAACTTAGGGGGTCTAAGTGTAACTCTCCCTATGAGAAATTGTAAGTTTCTAGAAACACATTTAAAAGTTACCCCAAACACACCCTTAGGAGCCTATTTTTCCTATTAAATTTTAAATTTGGGGTATTAATATGAGCCCTTGGATTAACTTTAAAATAAAATTTAAAAAGATCTTAACCGAGAAAAGTAAAAATCATTTTGTTTATTTTTTTTTAGATTTGAATTGTATTGTAATTTATTAGATAAATTGTCCAAAATTTCTTCAAAAAATTTGGAATCTGTCTTATCTTTTTCGAAGCGGTAACTTACTTCATCAAATTGTAAGCATCGTAATCGTTTGTAATGTACTTGAAATAAACTATAGTAATCATTATTTATTTATAATTTTTGACACAACATCTCTTTGGACATCGTAATCAGGCCCATGCAAAAATATCTTCACTTTGATGAAGAAACATCAGGGGACTAAGGAAAGAAACAAACTTGGCAATGGCTATTTTTGTATTTTCATTCCATGTACGATTCCCTAATAATTGTCCCATGAAAAAACATCTTCTCCTTCACAGAAGGAAACTGCTTGAGTAGACCTATTATAAATTAGTTGCTCTTGTTCACCAAATTTGTCATCCAATATTTCAACTGCATTTCAATCTTCACCTCCTTACAAAAAACCATTACAAATCTGCTAGTGTGAGGCAAGCTTTCCAATTAAATCAATTATTTGCTTCAGAAGACAAAGAAGCTGCAAATCAGTAAGTTGTAGAATTATTTGAAAAATAAGTTGTACTTTGATTCCTCCAAAGTATTCTTTTAATTATAGTCATTAATTTTACACTAACGCAATGGAAAACATACGCGATAGCTTCGATCAAAAGTTTTGGCACTCAATTCTCCAAGTATATGAAATTTTTTCACTTTGCCCGTAGAATCTAATGGTACATGGGTATTTTCTTTCCAAAACTATTCCATGGGATGGGGATTAGCCAAGATCAAGCCTGGCCGGTATCAAAAATATTCCGAGTAGGAGCCCTGGACGGCCCTTAGCTAAAAAGTTATTTGTTTGCATCTTTCTATTATTAGTCCTTAGGAAAAATCATGTTTGGACTCTTTCGACTATGTTTTGTCACTCAACTGATGAGTTTTTCCCATTGTCTCCTTAACTACGAGATTAGTTTCGCATTGTCCCAAAACCAATCATCCGTCTTGTTTGAACGAAAAACAACAAAATGTCTAATGTTTTCAATCTCCACAACTTGGATAAATGAAACCCATAACCATGATAAGATGTGCAAGGTGAAAAAACGTGACAATGGAGGGAAAAAATATTATAGTTAAGGAGATGAGGTAGGTCGTAGGAAATAAGTGGAATTTACACTCCAGGTTATGCAAGTTAAAAGCTCGGAACTACAGGGTGCTAATGATGATGATGTTGGGGCAGTAGAGGTAATGATGGGCTATTATTGAAATATCAACCCACATATGAATCCCTAATAATTGTCCCATGAAAAAATATCTTCTCCTTCACACAAGGAAACTGGTCGAGTGGACCTATTTTAAATTAGTTGCTCGTGTTCACCAAATTTGTCATCCAATATTTCAGCTGCATTTCAATCTTCACCTCCTCACAAAAACCCTATACAAATCTCCTGGTGTGCGGCAAGCTCTCCAATTAAATCAATTATTTGCTTTGGAAGTCAAAGAAGCTGCAAATCAGTAAGTCATAGAATTATTTGAAAAATAAGTTGTACTTTGATTCCTCCAAAGTATTCTTTTAAATATAGTCATTAATTTTACACTAATACATTGGAAAACATTCGTGAGAGCTTGAATGAAAAATTTTGGCACTTTATTCTCCAAGTATATGAAAGTTTTTCACTTTGCCCGTAGAATCTAATGGCACCAGGGTATTTTCTTTCCAAAACTATTCCATGGTTTGGGGCTTAGCCAAGATCAAGCCAAGCCTGTGTCAAAAAAATTTCGAGTAGGAGCCCATGACGGCCCTTGGCAAAAAGGTTATTTGTTTGCATCTTTCTATTATTAGTTCGAAGGAAAAATTATGTTTGGACTCTTTCAACTATGTTTTGTCACTCTACTGATGAGTTTTTCCTATTGTCTCCTTAACTAGGTGATTAGTTTTGCATTGTCCCAGAACCAACCATCCGTCTTGTTTGAACGAGAAACAACAAAATGTCTAATGTTTTCATTCTCCACAACTTGGATAAATGAAACCCATAACCATGATAAGATGTGCAAAGTGAAAAAACGTGACAATGGAGGGAAAACATAATATAGTTGAGGAGATGATGTAGGTTGTAGGAAGTAAGTGGAATTTACACTCCAGGTTATGCAAGTTAAAAGCTCAGAACTACAAGGTACTTATGATGATGATGTTGGGGCAGTGGAGGTAAGAATGGGCTATTATTGAATAATCAACCCGCATACGATTCTCTAATAATTGTCCCATGAAAAAATATCTTCTCCTTCACACAAGGAAACTGGTTGAGTAGACTTATTTTAAATTTGTTGCTCTTGTTCACCAAATTTGTCATCCAATATTTCAGATGCATTTCAACCTTCACCTCCTCACAAAAAAAACTTTACAAATCTACTGGTGTGAGGCCAGCTTTCCAATTAAGTCAATTATTTGCTCCAACAGACAAAGAAGCTGCAAATCAGTAAGTTGTACAATTATTTGAAAAATAAGTTGTACTTTGATTCCTCCAAAGTATTCTTTTAATTATAGTCATTAATTTTACACTAACGCAGGGGAAAATATTCGTGATAGCTTGGATGAAATGTTTTGGCACATTATTCTCCAAGTATATGAAATTTTTCCACTTTGCCCGTAGAATCTAATGGCACATGGGTATTTTCTTTTCAAAACTATTCCATGGGATGGGGCTTAGCCAAGATCAAGCCTGGCCGGTATCAAAAAAGTTTTGAGTAGGAGCCCTGGACAGCCCTTAGCTAAAAATTTATTTGTTTGCATCTTTCTATTGTTAGTCCTTAGGAAAAATTATGTTTGGACTCTTTAAACTATGTTTTGTCACTCAACTGATGAGCTTTTCCCATTGTCTCCTTAACTACGTGATTAGTTTTGCATTGTCACAAAACCAATCATCCGTCTTGTTTGAACGAAAAACAACAAAATGTCTAATGTTTTAAATCTCCACAACTTGGATAAACGAAACCCATTACGACGATAAGATGTGCAATTCGAAAAAACTTGACAATGGAGGGAACAAATATTATAGTTGAGGAGATGATGTATGTTGTAGGATATGAGTGGAATTTACACTCCAGGTTATGCAAGTTAAAGGCTCGGAACTACAGGGTGCTAATGATGATGATGTTGGGGCAGCATAGGTAATGATGGGCTATTATTGTATAATCAACCCACATATGATTCCCAAATAATTGTACCACGAAAAAATATCTACTCTTTGAAACTGGTTGAGTAGACCTATTATAAATTAGTTGCTCTTGTTCAGCAAATTTGTCATCCAATATTTCAGCTGCATTTCAATCTTCACCTCCTCACAAAAACCCTTTACAAATCTGCAAGTGTGAGGCAAACTTTCCAATTAAATCAATTATTTGCTTCAGAAGACAAAGGAATTGCAAATCAGTAAGTTGTAGAATTATTTGAAAAATAAGTTGTACTTTGATTCCTCCAATATATTATTTTAATTATAATCATTAATTTTACACTATCGCAGTGGAAAACATTTGTGATAGCTTGGATGAAAATTTTTGGCACTTTATTCTTCGGGTATGTGAAATTTTTTCACTTTGCCCGTAGAATCTAATGGCACATGGGTATTTTCTTTCCAACACTATTCTATGGGATGGGACTTAGCCAAGATCAAACCTGGCCAGTATGAAAAAATTTTCGAGTAGGAGCCCTGGACGGTCCATACCTAAAAAGTTATTTGTTTGCATCTTTCTATTATTAGTCCTTTGGAAAAATAATGTTTGGACTCTTTCAACTATTTTTTGTCACTCAACTGATAAGTTTTTCCCATTGTCTCCTTAACCACATGATTAGTTTTGCATTGTCCCAAAACCAACCATCCGTCTTGTTTGAACGAAAAACAACAAAATGTCTAATGTTTTCAATCTCCACAACTTGTATAAATGAAACCCATAACCATGATAAGATGTGCAAGGTCAAAAAATGTGACAATGGAGGGAAAAATATTATAGTTGTGGAGATGGTGTAGGTTGTAGGAAATAAGTGGAATTTACACTCCAAGTTATCCAACTTAAAAGCTCGGAACTACAGGGTGGTAATGATGATGATGTTGGGGCAATGGTGGTAATGATGGGCTATTAATGAATAATCATCCCACACAAGATTCCCTAATAATTGTGCAATGAAACAATATCTTCTCCTTCACACAAGGAAACTGGTTGAGTAGACCAATTATAAATTAGTTGCTCTTGTTAAGCAAATTTGTCATCCAATATTTCAGCTGCATTTCAATCTTCACCTCCTCACAAAAAACCTTTACAAATCTGCTGGTGTGAGGCAAGCTTTCCAATTGAATCAATTATTTGCTTCAAAACACAAAGAAGCTGCAAATCCGTAAGTTGTAGAATTATTTGAAAAATAAGTTGTACTTTGATTTTCTCCAAAGTATTCTTTTAATTATAGTCATTAATTTTACACTAACGCAATGGAAAACATTTGTGATAGCTTGGATGAAAAGTTTTGGCACTTTATTCTCCAGGTATATGAAATTTTTTCACTTTTCCCATAGAATCTAATGGCACATGGGTGTTTTCTTTCCAAAACTATTGCATGGGATGGGGCTTAGCCAAGATGAAGCTTGGCCTGTACCAAAGATTTTTCGAGTAGGAGCCTTGGACTGCCCTTAGCTAAAAAGTTATTTGTTTGCGTCTTTCTATTATTAGTCCTTAGGAAAAATTATGTTTGGAACCTTTCAACTATGTTTTGTCACTCAACTGATTAGTTTTTCCTATTGTCTCCTTAACTACGTGATTAGTTTTGCTTTGTCCCAAAACCAACCATCTGTCTTGTTTGAATGAAAAACAACAAAATATCTAATGTTTTCAATCTCCACAACTTGGATAAATGAAACCCATAACTCTAATAAGATGTGCAATGTGAAAACACGTGACAATGGAGGGAAAAAAATTATAGTTGAGGAGATGATGTAGGTTGTAGGATATAAGTGAAATTAACACATCTGGTTATGCAAGTTAAAAGCTCGGTACTGCAAGGTGCTAATGATGATGATGTTGGGGCAGTAGAGGTAATGATGGGCTATTATTGAATAATCACCCCACGTACGATTCCCTAATAATTGTCCCATGAAAAAATATCTTCTCCTTCACACAAGTAAACTGGTTGAGTAGACCTATTTTAAATTTGTTACTCTTGTTCATCAAATTTGTCATCCAATATTTCAGCTGCATTTCAAGCTTCAGCTCCTCACAAAAAAACTTTACAAATCTGCTGGTGTGAGGCCAGCTTTCCAATTAAATCAATTATTTGCTCCAAAAGAGAAAAAAGCTGCAAATCAGTAAGCTGTAGAATTATTTGAAAAATAAGTTGTACTTTGATTCCACCAAAGTATTCTTTTAATTATAGTCATTAATTTTTCACTAACGCAATGGAAAACATTCGTGATAGCTTGGATGAAAAGTTTTGACACTTTATTCTCCAAGTGCATGAAATTTTTTCACTTTGCCCGTAGAATCTAATGTCACATGGGTATTTTCTTTCCAACACTATTCCATGGGATGAGGCTTAGCCAAAAGGAAAAATGGCCTATATCAAAAATTTTTCGAGTAGGAGCCCTAGAGGACCCTTAGATAAAAAGCTATTTGTTTGCATCTTTCTATTATTAGTCCTTAGGAAAAATTATGTTTGGACTCTTTCAACTATGTTTTGTCACTCAACTGATGAGTTTTTCCCATTGTCTCCTTAACTACGTGATTAGTTTTGCATTGTCCCAAAACCAACCATCCGTCTTGTTTGAACAAAAAACAACAAAATGTCTAATGTTTTCAATCTCCACAACTTGGATAAATGAAACCCATAACCACGATAAGATGTGCAATGTGAACAAACGTGACAATGGAGGGAAAAAATATGATAGTTGAGGAGATGATGTAGGTTGTAGGATATAAGTGGAATTTACACTCCAGGTTATGAAACTTAAAAGCTCGGAACTACAGGGTGCTAATGATGATGATGTTGGGGCAGTGGAGGTAATGATGGGCTATTAATGAATAATCATCCCACACACGATTCCCTAATAATTGTCCAATGAAACAATATCTTCTCCTTCACAGAAGGAAACTGGTTGAGTAGACCAATTATAAATTAGTTGCTCTTGTTCAGCAAATTTTCATCCAATATTTCAACTGCATTTCAATCTTCACCTCCGCACAAAAAACCTTTACAAATCTGCTGGTGTGAGGCAAGCTTTCCAATTAAATCAATTATTTGCTTCAAAATACAAAGAAGCTGCAAATCAGAAAGTTATAGAATTATTTGAAAAATAAGTTGTACTTTGATTCCTCCAAAGTATTCTTTTAATTATAGTCATTAATTTTACACTAACGTAGTGGAAAACATTCGTGATGGCTTTGATGAAAAGTTTTGGCACTTTTTTACCCAAGTATATGAAATTTTTTCACTTTGCCCGTAGAATCTAATGGCACATGGGTATTTTCTTTCCCAAACTATTCCACGGGATGGGGCTTAGCCAAGATCTAGTCTGGCCAGTATAAAAAAATTTTCGAGTAGGAGCCCTGGACGGCCCTTAGCTAAAAAGTTATTTGTTTGCATCTTTGTATTATTAGTCCTTAGGAAAAATTATGTTTGAACTCCTTCAACTATGCTTTAACACCCAACTGATGAGTTTTTCCCATTTTCTCCTTAACTACGTTATTAGTTTTGCATTGTCCCAAAACCAACCATCCATCTTGTTTGAACAAAAAACAACAAAATGTCTAATGTTTTCAATCTCCACAACTTGGATAAATGAAACCCATAACTCTAATAAGATGTGCAATGTGAAAACACGTGACAATGGAGGGAAAAATATTATAGTTGAGGAGATGATGTAGGTTGTTGGATATAAGTGAAATTAACACATCGGGTTATGCAAGTTAAAAGCTCGGTATTGCAGGGTGCTAATGATGATGATGTTGGGGCAGTAGAGGTAATGATGGGCTATTATTGAATAATCACCCCACGTACGATTCCCTAATAATTGTCCCATGAAAAAATATCTTCTCCTTTACACAAGGAAACTGGTTGAGTAGACCTATTTTAAATTTGTTACTCTTGTTCATCAAATTTGTCATCCAATATTTCAGCTGCATTTCAAGCTTCACCTCCTCACAAAAAAACTTTACAAATCTGCTGGTGTGAGGCAAGCTTTCCAATTAAATCAATTATTTGCTTCAAAAGACAAAGAAGCTGCAAATCAGAAAGTTTTAGAATTATTTGAAAAATAAGTTGTACTTTGATTCCTCCAAAGTATTCTTTTAATTATAGTCATTAATTTTACACTAACGCAGTGGAAAGCATTCATGATAGCTTGGATGAAAAGTTTTGGCACTTTATTCTCTAAGTATATGAAATTTTTTCACTTTGCCCGAAGAATCTAATGGCACATGGTTATTTTCTTCCCAAAACTATTACATGGGATGGGGATTAGCTAAGATCAAGTCTGGCCTGTATCAACAATTTTTCGAGTAGGAGCCCTGGATGGCCCTTAGCTAAAAAGTTATTTGTTTGCATCTTTCTATTATTAGTTCTTAGGAAAAATTATGTTTGGACTCTTTCAACTATGTTTTGTCACTCAACTGATGAGTTTTTCCCATTGTCTCCTTAACTACGTGATTAGTTTTGCATTGTCCCAAAACCAACCATCCGTCTTGTTTGAATGAAAAACAATAAAATCTCTAATGTTTTCAATCTCCACAACTTGGATAAATGAAACCCATAACCACGATAAGATGTGCAATGTGAAAAAACGTGACAGTGGAGGGAAAAAATATGATAGTTGAGGAGATGATGTAGGTTGTTGGATATAAGTGGAATTTACACTCCAGGTTATGCAACTTAAAAGCTCGGAACTACAGGGTGCTAATGATGATGATGTTGGGGCAGTGGAGGTAATGATGGGCTATTAATGAATAATCATCCCACACATGATTCCCTAATAATTGTCCAATGAAACAATATCTTCTCCTTCACACAAGGAAACTGGTTGAGTAGATCAACTATAAATTAGTTGCTCTTGTTCAGCAAATTTGTCATCCAATATTCCAACTGCATTTCAATCTTCACCTCCGCACAAAAAACCTTTACAAATCTGCTGGTGTGAGGCAAGCTTTCCAATTAAATCAATTATTTGCTTCAAAAGACAAAGAAGCTGCAAATTAGAAAGTTATAGAATTATTTGAAAAATAAGTTGTACTTTGATTCCTCCAAAGTATTCTTTTAATTATAGTCATTAATTTTACACTAACGCAGTGGAAAACATTCGTGATAGCTTGGATGAAAAGTTTTGGCACTTTATTCTCCATGTGCATGAAATTTTTTCACTTTGCCTGTAGAATCTAATGTCACATGGGTATTTTCTTTCCAAAACTATTCCATGGGATGAGGCTTAGCCAAAATGAAAAATGGCCTATATCAAAAATTTTTCGAGTAGGAGCCCTAGATGACCCTTAGATAAAAAGCTATTTTGTTTGCATCTTTCTATTATTAGTCCTTAGGAAAAATTATGTTTAGACTCTTTCAACTATGTTTTGTCACTCAACTGATGAGTTTTTCCCATTGTCTCCATAACTATGTGATTAGTTTTGCATTGTCCCAAAGTGAAAATTTTCAACTTCAAATTTTTTTAAGGTAAAGTAGTTTCACGATTGTTGTTTTAATTTGATGTATTTTGATATTATTTTATTGGGAAGAGAGAAAAAAAATTCATACTTTTTTTAAGGGGTATTGTTGGCAATGGCAACTTTTAAAAGTACATCTTAGGACGTTGGTGTGAAAAAATGATCGAACACAATTCAATCCTCCCCAATCTTAATGTTGCCAAAACACAATTTGGATTTCTTAGTTTTTTGCAATTTATTTTTCTTTGTGGCAGGAGAAGTAAAATATATTCTGAAAAATTCCTAGATAGTTTTGTGCTTTTAACTATCCACTCGCATGGATGGAAAAGCTTGCTATCTTTCCATCTCCACCATTTGACCCTTATATTTTTAAAGTAAATGACCAAATATGCAGGGAAAAGAAGAAAGCTTACGGACCGGAAATGCTCACAATTGATCCTTATATTTAAGTCACAATTGACCAAATATTTTTTTCAGTACTATACCTCTAAAGTTTATAAGTTTTATGAGTTTTCACACAAGTTTATGAGTTTATTTACAAGCAAAATCATTCTACAATTTTTAAGGTTCAAATTATAATTTTTTCAATTTTTGATTCCAAATTAATTTTTGAAAGAATTATACTCAGAGCCCTTGAAGTTTGTCACTTAATCACTCAGATCTTCTGACATTTAAAATATTATACACAGATCCCTTAAAATTTGTACACACGTAACATTTAGATTTCTACTGTTAATGTCCATTAATATATCCGTTAATAAATTATATCATGATCCCTTAAATTTGTTAAACTAATGATGTGATTGCATTAAAATCATTAAATTAACATCAAATTCTAATGTTTGATGAAATCCAAAATTAATTTAAAAATTATAATAAATTAGGTCGATAATTCCAAATTAATATTTTGTAGTACATCTTTACATTTGGTTTGTTTTATTATGTAATTATCTTCTTTTTATTATGAGTCTCCTACAACATCAATGCTGACATAATACTGGCAACGTAGTAACTCCTCCATTAAATTCCAACTGCCTCGTGCACTGCCTTCGTCATTAATGTGCATCCTGTGAATTTACACTTTTACTATCCTTTCTTAATCACTTTTTATTTTTGTATTTCGTGTGTTGACGTGGAAGGATTGGTTTAAGGAAATTGGTAGGTGGTTAAAGAATATTAGATTAAGGATCACACATGAGTTGAAAAATAATTAGGGGTGACTTTGACATTATTAAATTCAAATCCTAATTACCAATATCCCAATGGAGGGTATTATTGTAAAATGCTCAGAGAACAAAGGTATTTTTGTAATTTTTTGACTTAGATTAACATTTCATTAGTTTATAATGGAGCCAATTGAAATTAGTTGGTCCAATTAATTGTGAGATAATTGGATGATTAATGACCAATTGGAGCTATAATAAAGGGATGAGACTAATTTATAACAGCCCACAATACTGGTCGTTTAACAACAGGGGGAGAAAATAAAATAAAATAAATTAACGGATTAGAATTGATCATTTCTCGATACGAATTGATGAATGACACAACCCATTAATTAATATTTATTTGTGACTTTTGATAAGATATCTCTTTAGACATTGTAATCAAGCTCATGGAAAACTATCTCCATTTTCAAAAAGAAACATATTGGCTAGTGAGGAAAGAAACATACTTGGGTAGCGAGGGGTATTATGGTATTTTGATTCCACGTACGATTACCTACTAATTGTCCTATGAAAAAATATCTTCTCCTTCACATAAGGAATATGGTTGAGTAGACCTATTATAAATTAATTGCTCTTCGTTGCTTAATTTGTCATTCAACAATTCCGTTGCAATTGAATCTACATCCCCTCACAAAAGCCTTCACAAATTTGCTGGTGTGACGCAAACTTCCAATTAAAGCAATTATTTTGCAAGACAAAGAAGCTGCAAATCAGTAAGTTGTTGAATTCTATAATCATTTGTCTTGATTAGTTGAAAAATAAGCTGTATTTCGATTCTTTCAAAGTACTCTTCTAATTGTGCTCATTACTTTTACACTAACCAAATAACAAACATTCGTGATAGATTGGATGAAAAATTTTGCCACTTAATCTCCAGCAGTATGTGTTTTTTCACTTTGTTCTAGGATGGCAGTAGACCAGAAAAAAATCAAGTATTCGTTCTAACTCATTTTTTTTGGATCGGAATAGACTATACATATTGAACGATTGACGTTTATGAAAATACCCGTATAAACTCGTGCGAGAATGGAGGCGGGGATAAACTGAAATTCATCCCATCTCTGCCTCCGCCACTCCTTGCTAAACCTGTGAATTTGCATCTTTCTTGCAAATTCATTTGAGGTTTTATTAATTTTTTTTTCAATTTTTTTCCTAAAAGCATAAAAATTAATTGTTATGGACATGAATGAATATCAAAATTTACCAACGGGTCGGGGGCGAGAATTAAATTCCCCTCCCCCCAAAAAAAATAGGGATGGAGGAATATTTTTTAAACTAATACGGGATAGAAACTACTCCTGCAACCCCCACTCTAGTCCACTGTCATCCTTACTTTGCCCCCAAAATCCGAAAAAAAAATTGAAGGGGGGATCGGCTAGAAAGCCGGCTCGTAGCGACCCAAAGCCCACCCACTACAACCAGTCCACTAGCTAGCCCGACTGCATTTTTTTTTTTGAACGCCTAGCCCTCCAGTTCAAAGCCATGTATGTGTGAATTAATTGGCTTACGCTTGAACCATGCCATGGGTAAATAACTATTTCATAAGTTATATATATGATATTTCATTCATAAATTTATTGCCCACCCGTTTTGTGCCATGGCCTATCCCATTTCCCCATGGGAGGGTCCGGATTAAGTGTCAGGCTCTAGTAGGGCTGGACTATTCCATGGGATGGGGCTTAGCCAAGATCAAGCCTTCCTAAATATCTGTCATTTAAGGTTTTTGCACAAGTATTAAGAAAACTATTAAATAGCTCTAGTATGAGTAAAAAATAATTATACAAGACTAAAATACTCTTATTCAATACGTATTGGAAAGAAAAAGAATATGAAATACACTTAACCTACACTTAATTTATTAAGCACTTATTAGAAAACAGAGATAAAGGTAAATTTGGAAGAAAAAATATTAATTATGCTTTGGTTTCATAAAACGACAGATATTGTGGAACAAAAAAAATGAGATAAAACGACAGATATTTAGGAACAGAAGGAGTATAAGATAATTGGATGATTAATTACTGACCAATTGGAGGTAATTAGATGGTGAATAACCTTATCTCTGCCCTACCCACACTCTACGTACAAGAACAAATTTAAGAAGATGATTTCATATGATTATAAGTTCCAAGATACAAGAACAACTTTAGTACTGTGTCCAACGTTAAAAGAAAAAAAATGTGAGGTTATAATAAAATAGGATTGTCTGAAATTTCTTGAAAAAATTAGGAATCTATCTTACTTTTTTCAAAGCCGTAACTTAATTCATTGAATTGTAACACGTATTCTTTGTAATGTACTGCAATGTTTTGTTTGATAGGAACTATGGAAAGTAAAAGAGATAGAAAGTAGGAGAGATCCATATACATTTCCTATCCTCCAAAAAAGAAAAGTAGAAATGATATATTTTTCCTCCTTTGACAGTAAGTTTTAGAATTATTTGAAAAATAAGTTGTACTTTGATTCCTCCAAAATATTCTTTTAATTATAGTCATTAATTTTACACTAACGCAATGAAAAACATTTGTGATAGCTTGCATGAAAAATTTTGGCACTTTATTCTCCAAGTATATGAAATTTTTTTACTTTGCCCATAGAATCTAATGGCACATGGGTATTTTCTTTCCAAAACTATTCCATGGGATGGGGCTTAGTCAAGATCAAGCTTGGCCTGTATCGAAAATTTTTCTAGTAGGAGCCGTGGACAGCCCCTCAACTAAAAAGTTATTTGTTTGCATCTTTCTATTATTAGTCTTTAGGGAAAATTATGTTTGGACTCTTTCAACTATGTTTTTGTCACTCAACTGATGAGTTTCTCATATTGTCTTCTCAATTACTTGATTAGTTTTGCATTGTCCCAAAACCAAGCATCCATCTTGTTTGAACGAAAAATAGCAAAATGTCTAAATGTATAACAAAACACATATTTTCAATCTCTACAACTTGGATAAATGAAACCATGACCATGATAAGATATGCAATATGAAAAACGTGACAACGGAGGGAAAAAATATGATAGTCGAGGAGATTATGTGAGGTGTAGCATATAAGTGGAATTTGCACTCATGGTTATGGATATAAGTGGAATTTGCACTCAAGGTTATGCAAGTTAAAAGCCCAGCAACTACGGGATGCTGAGGTCAGGCTATTCGTGGGTGAGTCCTCCTTTAGTGACATATACTGAATTTAGTCCGCTAAAAAAATTTATTTAGGAGTAAGTCCGTTTTTAATCTTATTAATAAGTAGTTAAATTTATTATTTTTTTAAAATTTCAAAATGTTCTTCTAATGACTTAAAAAATAATCTTCAACATTAAATTAGTTTCCTAAACAATCATCCTTGATTTACACTTAATGCAGATTTTTTTTCCATAAAATCTGAAATTCAAATTTAAATTTGACATCACTACCACTTCTCTTTATATCTCTCTCTCATTTTTTTTTTTGCTGAAAAGATTGTGGTTAATTTAATATTGAATGTTACTATGCATGTTACTATTTTTTTGTTGTGCATTTTACTATTTTTTTTAATGAGTATGTTACTATTAATATTGAATGTTACTATTTTTCTGAATTATCAATATTTAATGTTATTTTTTTTTGTTGATCATGTTACTATTATTATTATTTTTTTCAAATATTAATATTCAATATTACTATTTTTTATTTTTGAATGTTCATATTTTTTTGTATTTAAGTGATACTATTTTTTGTGTTTGAATGTTACTATTTTTTATTTTTAATGTTACTATATATATATATATGAGGGAGAGAGAAATAAATAATTTTATTCTATATATAGATATAGATAGATATGAATTTTTTTTTTAATATTAGTCAAACTTCTAAAATTCAAGAATTGTTAGTTTTCAAATTTGTTGTAATTAAATATAACTAATGAGGGTATTTTAGACAATGAAGATTAAAATGAACTTAATATTAAACAAATTTTCTTGATGGACTTATCACCAAAAAAAGTCCACAAAGGGAGATTGACCTCCCAATTTTTCTTTTTTTTATTTGGGATTAGGGGTTTGTTGGAGAAAAAATTACTCCAGGTCATTGTTTGGTTCATGATATCTCTCTGGGCATCGTTATCGAGGCCTTCACTTTCATGAAGAAAAATCTTGGCCAGTGGGGAAAGAAACATCAAACATACTTCGGTAGAGAGGGCTATTATTGTATCTTCTCCTTCACAGTAGAGATAAGGTTGACTTTGATTTGACCTGTTAAAAATTAGTGGCTCTTCTTCACCTAATTTGTCATCTAACATTTTAGGTGCATTTCAATCTACGGCCCTTCACAAAAACCTCTACAGATTTGTTGGTGTGAGGCCAGCTTCCAATTATTTCAGAAAACAAGAAGCTGCAAATCAGTAAGTTGTAGAATTGTATAATTATTTGCCTTGATTATTTGTAAAATAAATTCTATTACGCTTCCTTCAAAGTACTCTTCTAAATATGATCATTACTTTTACACTAACCAAATAACGATCATTCGTGATAGATTGGACAAAAAATTTTGCCGCTCCATCTGCAAAAGTATGAGTTTTTTCAGGTTGCTCCCAAAATCTAATGACACATTGACATTTTCTGTCGAAAACATACTTGATAATGAAGGGTGCATTGGCTACAAAGCCGGCTCATGGTGGCCCGAAGCCCGTAGGCTACAAACGGCCCACGGGCTAGCCCTGCCATTGAAAGCCATGTGCATTTGATTACGTGAATTGTAGGAAATGAATCTAATCTACCTTATCAATTAATGGCTGCTCACTACTTTCTTTGTCATCAACATTTTTTCAGTCCAAGCAAATCGCTTATTTCAGAAGAAAAGCCGACGAACAAAAGAAGGAAGTTGAAAATCAGTAAGTTGTGTAATTTTATAAGCATTTGTTTTGATTATCCAAGTATTGTAATATTAATGTGCATGTTTACTTCCATATACTCAGTGTAGTTTCCTAGTTTAACACGTTTTGATATAGTTCACCCCTCGTTACATGGAGTAAATATTCATTGCAACGGTAATATTACTTTGTCATTAGTGACACGTGGTATCACCAACTAATAAGAATACATCATATAAATATAAGTGAACTCAACTATTCAAACGTGTTAGTTAGTCAACGTGGTAGTTATTAACAATTACTAAATAATGGAATACACCACATACACATGATATATTATCATTGGTTGGTGATACCATGTATCGTTAATGACGTGATATAACTGTTGCAAGGAATATTTTCTCCGTGAGAAATTTTGAAGAGCTAATGACACTTTTTCCTTTTAAATGTTTTAAAATTTAATTTGCACCCTTAATGTTAAATAATCACGTATTGACCCTTTATTTTTCAAACTTGCATGTAGCAACGTGCCCCAATTAGTAATTGAATGACATTTCCTTTTCCTCCATAAAGATATAAAAATATGATCTGTTTACTCCTGAAAGATTTTAAAATTGGACCTGTGTGGAAAAGCAGTGAGGTTTTACACTTGAACTTAAACTATCAAAAGAGATCTATTGAAATGGTTTTAAAAAGTTCAAGGGTCAAATTGAAATAACTAAAAGTTTAAAACAATCCAAAATTTAGAACAGACATTAATCATTAAGATATTCAAAATAAATTACAAAGTTAAAGGTACAATGTGAAAAACATATTAGTTAAAGAGACAATCTGAAAAAAGTCATGGTTAAGAGAGAGACCAACCTCGTGTGTTTGGACTTCTAGGCCTATCATGTCCCATCTTGTGTATTTACTAAATGTTCATTTGACAAAAGTGGCATAGGCTTTCCACCTTGTTTTTTTCAAAAGATGTCTAATTATTTTCAGTGTGGTTTCATATTGGTTTGAGATTTTTTTATGCGGCATGTGAAGTAAAATATCTTTTGAAATATTCTTAGATACTTGTTTGTCATTCTACATAAATTGTGAAGGAAAATCAGATGTCTCAGTTGTCTATTTGCATCGCCGAAAAGCTTGCTACTTTACCATCTACACCCTATAAACCTTACCTGTTCAGAATAAACGATGCACTACGTAGAGAGAACAGTGAAGCATACGAACCAGAAATAGTAGCAATTGGTCCTTATCACCGCGGCAAAGTTAAGATACAAATGATGGAAGAACACAAACTATTGTACCTGCAAGAGTTGCTTAAACGGAGAAATGAGTTGAGTGTGGATATGTATGTCATAGCCATGCAAGAATTGGAACAAAAAGCTAGAAAGTGTTATGCTGAACCCATTAAAATGAACAGGGATGAGTTTGTGGAAATGATGCTACTTGATGGGTCCTTTATAATCGAGTTATTTCGCAAGTTCTCTTGTGAAGAACAGGAACAGATAGATGACCCTATTTTTCAAGCAAGTGTCATTCGGTTGAATATACGTCGTGATCTTTTGTTATTTGAGAATCAACTTCCATTCTTTGTCCTCTCCAAGTTATTTGACATGAGCAAAGATTCAAACCAAGGAGGCCCACAAGAGAATATTTTAGTCTTAGCTCTCAATTTTTTACTTCATGCCATTCCAGATATCTCGTATTTCCAAATGTCTGAAACTCCAGAGATCAATGACAATCATCTTCTGAGCCTTGTACATGCTATCTGGTGTTCTAGATTTGCTACAATGGTGTCTTCTCGGATTGATGCAAACCAAGAAAGGGGATGGAGTTTTATAAAATGTACAACAGGGCTTCGAGAATCTGGGATTAAATTCGTGAAGGCTACAGATAGTTTCTCGTTGTTTGATATAAAGTTCACAAATGGAATCGTGAAAATTCCCAGACTGAAAATTTTGATCGTACTGAGTGCCTCTTCAGAAATATGGTTGCATACGAGCAATACAAAGGAAAAACTAAGCCAGCTTATGTGACTGACTACGTGATTTTTATAGATCGCCTCATCAACTCCCCAATGGATGTCAAAATACTTGATGAGTGTGGAGTTATTGATAACTGGTTAGGGAATGATAAAGCAGTTTCTTTCATGGTTAACAAAATGTCCAATCAAGTCGGTCTAAATTCTAATATGTTTAGTTATGCGGAAGTTTTCAATGACATTAACGAGCATTGTGGACGTACTTGGCATACATGGATGGCCAATTTAAACCACAATTATTTCAACAACCCATGGTCTAGCATTTCGGTCATTGGTGCTTTTGTGTTGCTGGTACTCACCGGGATACAAACTATATGCTCTATCTTACAAATCTAGTGTTATGTCCAATTTGATTTACACGCCCACCCCTCTGTTTGTAATAGAATGTATAAAGTTGTAATTATAATTCAGTCAGCTTGTTGTTTTACAAATGTTGAGTAGAATTCATGATCAATTTGAATGTTTTTTCTAAGCCATTGTATGGAGCAAACTTCCTGGTTGGTTTCTATTGAGTGGTAGACTAAGAAGATAAAGGGAAAAATTACACCTTGATCCTCTCAACTATGACCCTGGTCTCATTTTGTCCCTAAATAATTGAGTTTCTAATATTGTTTTCTCAACTACATGACTTGGTTTTTCATTATCCCAAAATCAAACGATCGTCAAGTTTTGAAAAAAAAAATGCTCACGTGTGTAGTACAATATACATTTTCAATGTCTAAAATACAGTTGGAGGTGTAATGTGCATATTGTGACAATTGAAAGGGCAAAGTGAGACCAATAATCTTAGTTGACGTGCAATGTAAGAAAAAGTGAAAGTTTAAAGCACAATGTAAAATAAGGGACATAGTAATGAGAGTATAATATGTGTTTATAGAAGGAGAAAGGCTACTATACCTACGGCGATACTGTACCAAAAATTACAACATTTTAAGGTTAAGTTATAATTTTTTTGAGGTGAAAGATACAATTTTAAAAGGTATAATCAAATTATAGAAAGTTAGAATTGATACCGAGTTTATGATTGATCATGAGAGTCATTGATCGATTATTGTCTTCCCTCGAAAAGTTGTAACTTCTCCTTTCAAAATTTTAACTTTACAACAAAAAGTGATAGATGACAGTAGAATACTGATTTTTTTTTTAGTACAGTAGACTTTCCCTTGAAGGTGAATATAAGAAAAAAATAGGTGTTTTTGACTACATTGCATGAGACGATTCAGTGGGCCCAAAATAATGTAGTGTCTAACAAACATGGATCTTGATGCTTTAGATTTATGTTAGATTTGATCATGTTTAATAGTACCATTTTTAATATACTAGTTATTGTACACGTGCATATAGTTAAGAAATGTAGAAGTATGATCAATATGATTAGGATATCTTAATCCATTACGGTTAATATCAAAGAAGCATTTCTAGGGATTGACTTAAAGGTATTACAATGAATAGGGACTTTACAAAAGCTCTTAAGAGGAAATGTAGTGGGATGCATGACTAAAAAAATAAAAAAAAATGCACCCAGTTAGCTTTTGTACAATTTCACTCCATGACACAAACAATCAAGCCCCCAAAAAAATCTATGCCTAATTTGTGAGAAAATTTGAATCTTAATAAATTAAACTAAAACAGGATGTGAAGTTCCCTAGCAAAAAAGTAGAATGGTCAACAATCAATTTGGGGACCACCACGAATATCAGATAAGCAAGAATGTTCTTATATCGCCAATTTATACTTGTACAACAACCATGGAATTGAAATGGTCAAGGTAGGACAACAAAATTAATAAATAAAAAACAATGCATGTTTCATGCTTTATTTGGAACACCATTATAGCCTCAAATCCCAAAAATCACGTTCTGTACCTATGAGAGCATAAAAGGCACCAAGAAACTTTTGTTAAGTGGATCCATCTTTGCAGCAATTTTGGATGACTAAAATTGAGAGGAATAAATATGTGCAGAACAATGACTTGGGGCTGCTTTGATCTTATTGACAGCAAGCAACAATTTAATCATGCTTATAGCAATGAATGGAAGATGAATTTTTACGAAGATGAGTTACCAATCCAGATAAATTAGGAAGTGTAGGTATAAGGAAAATGGTTTTGTCACGAAAACTATATTCCGCACATCCTAACACAACCATATTAATCAAATAGAAAGAAATTTTGTTAAATCTGTACCTATTCAAACGGTTCTACCAATTTCGTAATGCACGAACACAAGATTGCCTTGAGAGAGACCTGCTAGATTTTTCACCTTGTATGTTCTGTGAAAGAAGATACAAGAACAATATGAAAAACGTAGCAGAGACAACACATAAGAACAACGTGTCAATCTTCTTGTGAGGAGCATATCGACAGATCTAGTGAATCACCTCTCCTTATTTTACATCTTAGAAGGCTTATGATTAGCAACTGGGGGCTCAACCTAGTCTAAATCGACAATACAACATTATAAAAAATTGTTGCTATATGAACCCAATGAATCAATTGAACTCAATTTATCAGAGAAATCACTTCAAAATGAACTCAATTCACCTCCAAAATTTAGATCCACTTCACCAAATTAGCCCCCGTGTGGAAAAAAAACTTTCACTTTCCCCATATCAACTCAACTAATAAAATATATTCAATTCGGTATTTATTAACACTATAAATATATGTATACATACATATGTGTGTGAATAATTAAGTAATAGCAGTCCAACCATCCACATAACAGTCACAATTATAAATTGCATTAATATTGATTTTATAACTCTAAAAGGGTAATATTGACATTAGTTATTTGATTAAGATTATTATAGTCAATCAAAAGTTTTCCACTTTTGTTAA